AAGCTCTCTATAAATGCTCATCAGGCCGGTACGTTGTTTACATGGGAACGGTAGCGTCTGACGGAGGGTTTATCGAAAGAAAACCCGGCCTGGACAGTATACAAACTTTAGCAGTTTCGTATCCATACAACTAAAGCACAATCTAGTCTGCTGCTTAGCGCAAAGGGCTAGAAAAATTTGCTAGGCAGGCAGTATTGAGATGGAGCTTAAGAACATGTAGCACATGCTTCGAGAGAACTGAGGGATTCGTCACAAAGAATATGGTGGCGAGACACCGCCCACCACACCCTTATGGAAGAGAAGACGCTATTCCTCAAAGTCCCCTTTCAAGAGGATGCGGCAAGTGAACTTCTTAGAAGACGCCTTGACCTCCGCGCCCCTCCCCCCTTTCTTCTTTGGAACGGTTCCATGTAACTCTCATTGTCGCTTAACCAGCTGTATCTTATCTCTCCCACTCCCTATCCCAACAACTTACTTGTATGAAAAGACGTACATTATTGACCGCATATTTTAACTGGTACCCCTTTCCCATATGAACGTCCTGGCCCGATAAGAATTAATTGAAAGCTCGCCAACTGCGTTTCTGAATTCTCTGATGGGAATTTTAACAACTTAAAAAAGGTGTATTTCATTCGTTGCTATCGTTGCAAAGCAAAAACCTTAGGGTGTTGTAGCAGTCTAGCTAAACAGCATCCGCACGAAAGTAGTGAACTGTTAATCAGTGCCCATCTCAATCGCTGCATTTTAAGAGGCACGGCCAGGGTGACGTGGCTGAGAGTCAAACTATGTGCACGCGATTGGTGTCTTCCCTCAAACTTAGTTGAGTAGCCACCATTAAGCCCAAGATCGTGTTAAATGGGAATGGTGGTTATTGGGGGGGGGGAGGAAGTAGGGTTGGAACCTCATCGCGGACGAGCAGCGAGCTATGAACTAATAAACTGCAACCAACGGTAAGTCTGACTCCAGAGCGCTGTACTGTTTGCATTGACAAAAAGCCGTCGGCCACGAGTGCCACAACACGGCTAGTTCCCCCCCTCCCCAAATACAACAATTAACGGTTGGGGAGATACCTAGGCCAACCCTCATGTAATTTTGCAAACTGTAGCATGACCACTGTGTACAGCATGGAGTTGTAGGACCACAGCCCAGGAATGGCTCGTAGATGAGACTAAATTGAAATAAGGAGCACGTGTATTTAGATATTTGGCACAAATGCCAAGGCGACTATTCTCTCCTGGACACAATACACCCGCCCCCCGCCAGATAGAAACAGTAAACAGATGACATACCAACCAGTTGGGCAAAAGTGGGCCTCGAGACAGGATCGTGGTTCCAGCAGGCACGCATGACCGCATCGTAGACAGCATCGGGGCAAGCGTTAGGCTGTTCCAACCGCCGACATACTGGTGTATCGATCGTCTCAAGGATCTGCTTTCCCGAAAGACCGGCCCAAGGAGTGAGTCCGTAGGTGAAGATCTCCCAGAGAGTCACGCCGTAGGACCAGACGTCACTGGCGCTGGTAAAACAGAGATCGTGGATGGACTCAGGCGCACACCACGCCACGGGCAGGCGCAGGTTGGTGCTGAAGTTTGTCTGGTAGTAGGACTTGCCCAGCTGCAGAGCCCGACTCAGACCGAAGTCGCCAATCTTCACCTGAAAGAAGAACACGACAGTTCGACCATAGATGTCGGTGATGTCCATCGTATTCGCCAAAACAGTTTGGTGCAGAAACGGTAACTTGCGCGTGAATTAGTTTTAATTGATAGTCGACTTGCGTCGCATCTACCACACACTCTCTCTGTTCCTTTACCCACCTGAGCCCGGCGTCAAGACAAAGTCAAGAAGACCGGAGGCGGGATCAGGCGCAGGTGGCTGGCGCGGCCGAACCCACCCCTAAGCTTCCCCCGTCCCTACGTTCGGCGTGTGTTATGAGAGCGCAACCCGAAAAACGCCTGCTGTACCCCCATGTTGG